TCGACCTGCTGGGCTTGACCTTGTCACCTTGCACCTTGACCTCGACTTCGACCTCGTCGACGCTTGCGAGAATGCGGCACATCTGCACGCCAGCAGAACCTTCCCTTGCCCAATGCAGCCCTAGCGCCTTGCTTCCCTGTCCGCTAGCTCACAAGCCGCCTTCCGGTTTGCGCCTTTCCGAAACAGGATATCTTGGTGGGTCCTGCCTCTTTGAAGATGGGTGCGCGCCGTTCGACGCACCCTGCCATCCCTGCCGAGCGAACTCTCTTGCTGCTCGTCATACGTACCTTTCTCCCTCACGCCTACGCACAGTCGACGGAGGCTGATATGAGCTGCCCACACGACCTCGACGTACCTCATCAACATTGTTCGACTGCTTTTGCTGACTTTGACCTCCAGGAGCACCACAACAATACAGAATCATCTGAAATGAACGTCCAATCGTCCGCAAACAAGCCTTCTATTACCGTAAACTCCCGCTACCTTCGAGCCTAAGCCTTCGGCAAAACGTCCGTTCTGCAAAACCCGGAACTTTTCGTAAGCAAATCTTTCGAACAGCAACTCTGAAAAGATGCAAGATGCGAGACACGGGACAAAGCATCGTTGACTGTGGCTGCGCAACGGTACCGCTGGCTGGTTCTTTCCATTGCCGATATCATACACCCGCAATTGCCACTGGCTACGAGCTCCATGCTGTAGTGTTGTTCCAAAGTTGTTCCAACACCAGCCTCTCTTGGTACGCAGCCATCACTGTGCTGGCTTGGCTTGGTTACTTGCAAGTGATTCCTCAGCTTCAGTTTTGCCTTCACTGATTTAGATCAAATCTTCAACGCAACAGCTCTCGGACTTAAGATCAATGCTGTCGGAGACAAGCCTAAAGCGCTTCAGCTGCTCTGGGGAAAAACTTTCGAGGTATGTTGCATACACCTCGTCGTTCACATGCTTTTTGTGACGAATATCTACTAGTAGATCTATGTATGGCGATACATGCCTCCAATTCTTTCGCCCCTGGACGTCGTTTTGCACATGACGGGGGCCTAGTCATCTCCAAGCAAACTAAGAGATTTTGGGTTTCCCTCCAGGCGCGGCCCGGTAGTCAACACTGTTTTCTGCGGCTCATTGGTGACACCTGGTTTGTCCTGCCATCCGCTCCTCATCGCATATCTGGGTCAACACAACTCTTTTGTCAACGTGTGAACAGCCACACCGTCCACACCAAGTTTTATCCGGACCCAGTCTGCAAGGGTCCCGTCATAATGCTCCCAAGTGTACTCTGTTGCCTTTCCAAAGCACGAGGATGTAGGACTGCGGACGATACTCGTCGATGCAGGCCAATCGTCAGTCTTGCTCTGTGCGGAGGAGAATGCCTGTCATTTGGACCGAAACAACTCCTACCCTCGTGTAACGACAGCTGGAGGTACGCGGCCGGTATGCCGACTTATCTTTCGCGGGGAAATGGCACACGCGGAGGTTGGGTAGTATTGGAACAACGGACGACATCCATGTCCGACTTAGGCTGACTCCCCTTGAGATGTCCACGCAGGGCCGACAAAGACAGGAAAAGAACACTGAAATCTTATCCAGCTCTGTCGCCGCGTGTCTCTCTCTCTTTCTCTCTCTCTCCAGACTCACACTATCATGGGCATTTTAAGTCACACCACGGTGACGTACAACCATTCTACCGAGGGGCACCATTCTCACCACCCCTCACCTTCTGGGCAACTATTGAGGGTACCCGAGGTACTGAACAGTGTCGCGGCTGGTAATTTCCAAGGATTGGCCTTGCTGAACTGCAGGATACGCGAGACGTTGCTGGAAGGGAATTCACAACACCGCAGAGGCAAGGAACTCTCGAGGAACCACAGCCTTGCACAAGTTCACCTTGTGCTGTTTCCTCTCAACTTAGAGTTTGAAGGCCGTGAGTTTTGACCTTGCCCGCGACCAAAATAACCTTCATCGCTTCGGCAGCGATTTTCTGACATCCGTCGTTACTTTGAGTTATCGCCTTCACTTGTTTCGACATACCAAGGCGTTTAACTGCTGTTCAGATTACAAATCGCCTCCTCGCGGTAGAGAACAACCAGCAGCCTGGCGGAAGGAGTCGCACATGTTGCAACTCCATGGACTCGATACGCAGCTGTTTTGAGACCGCAACGGGCAAAGCTCTCGACTGAGACTTTGACGAGTGTTATTTCATTGGCCCATAACCCCTGGCAGCGCCGTAGCGCATGGCGCTACTGTACGGATGCCATGGCCAGTCACCTCCGGATGCAGAGCCCTGAAACCAGTGGAGGAGCGTGTTTTCATGGGATGGGTAGCAACGCAGAGCGTTGGAGGAGATGGGCTTTAATTTTGCTTTTGAACTGGCCGAGAATTGGCGCAGCCCACAGCATCTTGAACATCAACAGACTTTGGAGTTCGACTCAGTGCGCACAAGGATCGAAAGACGACAGGGTCTAGCTTCGGAGCTTTTCGGCCAAGCGACGCTGCTTGGTTACCACGACGAGTTAGTGGATGCATGTGCGGGTAGGCAGATCTGCCACCGAGACAAGGCCTGCCAGAGACAAACGGCGGTGGCTATCGTCATGTATCCCACTAATATTGTACCGTGCAGGCGCAACGCTCCACTGGAACTGTCGTCGGGTCTGTACCTTGCGGCCTGCTTCTGACATCTGTCAAGTTGCTGGCGATCCGTAATGGCGCATCGCCTCATCATCCAGAAACCCGGCATGATTGGTCTTTGAACACCAATTGTTTCGCGCTTATCTACACCTTTTTTAAGAGAGATTGACTGCGGCGGACGGTTGCCTAAGTGGTCGTCTACGGCTTCATTCTCGGCTTTGTTGCATACTCTCCGCGTGTCTCTTTGGCGGTCGACAGAAACTCTGTTTCTGCGGTATCAGAAGCATCTGAGTGAGTCAACAGCGGAGCCAGAGCAGAAGCCGATGGACAAATGCACCCTGAGACCTGCAGTCAGTCCTCAGAAATACGAACGCCCTGTGGCCTGAAGAATGCACCACGCGATGACGAGTTATGAGCACATGCTTCGGTGGAAGCTGCATGATTTGAATTGCGAACATCGTCAAGAATGAACGGCAGCGGGGGCGGCTACTGAAAACGGCCCTAGACAGTTGAGGGTGCGTACCTGGGCGGAAGGGTGTCCCACTGGAAGACTTCCGATACGACAACGAACACAGCGTCCCACCGTTCACTAAAGTAGCCTGCGGGGCTTTCGACTGGTTCTTGGGAAAGCTTGGCGTTGGAGACGGAGTACGATACGGCTCTGTCTCTGCAGCATGCCATTGTTGGTGCTCATGTACACGAGAAACTCGGCGAGTGGGGTTGCCTTGTGAGGCTTGCAAAAACATGGCAAACATGACCTTTCACTATCAGCAAGCGTTCGTGGCCGTCTTGGCTGCTATGCAGTTCCGAGCCCGACGTCCCGAGGGCCAGGTCTGTCGAAGCGAAGCACTTGGAGGGGAGGGTCACAGCGACAATTGCTAACCGATGGCTAGCTGGCAGAAAATCTGAACACATTTGTCCATGTTCATGAGTTCGGAGCCATGTCTAAGCAAACTTCAGCTTTGACATTGATATTGAGCTTACTGGCCAGACTCCGCGAAGGCGTATTCGGCTTGACCCGGTTGCAATGAGCAACGCGATAACGCGACTGCCAGCAGGTCGACGACACAAGCCTCATTCTCGCCCTACCTGCATCTTCCTCGTTGAAATTTAGCATGCGCAGGTGTCGCCAGCATAGAACCCGCGATGCTGGTCCGGCTTTCCTCACGGCTCCTTGACCCCAGCGGTCAAACAGAGGTAGCTCTGGGATACGGCCATGATTCCGAGACAAAGCGCCATTCTCCCCGCTTCATTCCTTCTATTTGATATTTCGCAGTAATTATGTTCTCCTCTGCAGAAATTCTAGCATCAAACCCATATCGGAAAGGGTTGAAGTTTCTTGTATTCGTCAAAGCAAGGAAGGGTTCCCGCCCTTGTCCCAAGCAGCGGCCAACAGCAGCAGCCTCCATCCATCCCCAAGCTCTGTCTGTCACCAAGCATGCAAGCTGCAGCACATAAAACAGTCTTCGTCCGAAAACCGCCGTAAACCCCAGAACCTAATTTTGGATCACACCCGGAAGAGCACCAGCCAGCCCTGCGACGCCGAGACAACCGAAACAGATACGGGCAGGCACTCCCTAGACTGTTTGTGGTGGCACATGCCTGGCACGGAGCCTGGAGAGCCCCAAGCTCTGCTAATGCATTCCCCCGTCTCTTTTGACTCTGCTCTGGTGCAGTGTACACGACGCCTGTTTCTGCTCTAGGTACCAAACGGTCCATTCCGTCCGTCGGCCACGAGTCTAACGCCGCGGCCTGGCGGGTTGCGCCTTCAGGAGCAAGCAGGGCCGTTGATGGTTCTTCAACCGACCCGCTAACTCGGCTCGTCAAAAAGTTTCTCCAGTGGCAGAGTCCGAGATGGGTGAATTGAGATATCCCTGTCCTCCGTTCCGTTCGGTCTGTCGAGTCCGTGTTCGTCGTCCTCCGCGCCGGACTGATCCTCCCGCCGACGATGGGTGTCGGGGGTGGAAACAACGCAACGCAGGAACGGCTCTCATCAGCCGAGCTGACACATGCTAGTTGCTTCAGCCGCAATTGCACTACAACATACAGTGCTTACTCTGGGGCGTCTCCGCCAAGGGTCCAGCACCGCCGTCATCAGCCACCGAACAGATGGAGGTCCCTCACTGATTCCCTCGCATCGCATGGCTTGTTGAGGATGCCGTCCAATCTCGAAAACTAGACATTCTGTCGTCTTTGCGTATCTCTTCATACTCTCCGTCTTCTGCAATATATTTACAGACAAAGCCGGGGCCCATCCTCTTCAAATACTGGCTCGCGCGTATCAAGTACTGCTCTGCAGCTTCATCCTGCATCAAATCCACTAGGTGCCTTCCTGCGTCTCAACAAGGTCCATATCTTCTGCAGCCTGACCGCCCAACATGACGGTCGCACAAGGATACCACAACCTCATTCCCACAACCGGCTTGTCGGAGCCGGTCGACACCACGAAACCATATGACCCATCCACACTATCATCCAAAACAGTTCTCATCACCGGAGGAGCCCTCGGCATCGGTGCCGCCTTCGCCCGGGAATGGGCCTCCCACGGAGCCAACATCATCATCGGGGACATCAATGCCTCGGATGGCGAGGCCCTGATTGCCTCACTCCGTACGAGTCACCCCAATGCCTCTCACCACTTCGTCAACTGTGACGTCACCTCCTGGGAATCGCAAGTGAACTTCTTCAAGGAAGCCGCGCGCCTCTCTCCAAACGGCGCCATCGACATTGTCGTCGCCAACGCAGGCGTCAACCACGTCGGCCATAACAGCACCTTTGACAAGCCCGTCGCCTCCAAGTCGGACCCCGACGCCCCCAGCGAGCCATCCACCAAGACCATCGCCGTCAACATCACAGGGGTAAGCTACACGACGAACCTCGGCATGTTCTGGCTTCCCCGCAACGGCAAGCGCGCAAACGACTCGTCCAAGCCGAAGGACCGGTGTCTCCTGCTCATCGGCTCCATTGCCGGCGTCGTCCACCTCCCCGGCCAGACGCCGTACTGCATGTCAAAGCACGCGGTGACGGGACTCTTCCGCGCCATGCGCGCAACGGCGTACATGTCGCACGGCGTGCGGCTGAACATGCTCTGCCCGTACTTCATCAGCGACAGCAACATGTTTCCCCGCGCCGGTGAGGCTGCGCTGCTCGGCGGCGGTGCAGGCGGAGCGCGGTTCGGGGACGTGGTCGATGCTGCCACGAGGCTTGTCGCGGACGAGGGGGTCATCGGGAGGGCTCTGCTTGTTGGGCCGAAGATTAAGGATGAGGAAAACGGGGTTGAGGATGAGGTCGCGGCATGGGATGTTTATGCGGAGGATTACAAGGATTGTGAGGCTTTTGTTTGGAGGTGGGTTAGGCTTATGAACACGGTTGAGATGGCCAAGGGGTGGGTTGGTTGGGTGAGGGATTGTTTTGGGATCTTGACGAGGAGGTGAGAGGGGAAGGGAGGTTGTTGCTGACTGTGGGACACTGAGAAAGTCTTTTGTGCAAGCTCGCTGCGTCCAACCGTGGCGAGGCACACAAGTGGTTTGGTAATGTCTACAAGAAGACGAACATGGCAATATTACCAATTTGAGCAAGATGAGATGTTGCATTGTGAGATCTGATACGCGAGAGATCTGTAGTGGTCGATCGATCCGGCTGACGGGAAATAAGGTCAAGCTTTTTGATCCTTGTGGTCCAGTCAGCATCTTGGTTTATATGAAGACTATCCGCGCTGTCACAGCGTTGGGGGCCAACCTATGAGTCGGAAAAGAACTGAAGGTTTTCAACCTACTTTCGTGTCGTGTTCACGTCGACCTTCATGGGTTGGTGTTCTCAAAGCTTCGAGATGTATAAATAGACACAGGTTTTGCGACAACTGCGTTCGACACCAAATCAGGCCAGAGGATCTTGGCCTCACTAAGAGGTCCAGAATATCGATGTTCCCGGTATGGCCTTCGTCATGTATGGGCTCATCTGCTTGCCCCGATAGGTTGAGAAGTGTTTATCCGACGAAGTGTCTGGCGGGAACGTGAGAACAGGGGGTATTACTACACGTATAGATTCGAGGCAATGAAGAGGGCGGATTCTGTCGGACGGGCAATTATGGTCTGAGAGAGTCGAAACTGCCGGGACTCAATCTATCAAGCTCTGCAGCGGAAACTTGTCGGGTGAGCAGTTCTGATGGATTAAAAGCTTGTGAATCCCGACATTTGCTTGGGGTGTGAGTGAGAGGTGGGTGGGTGTTTGGTTTATATAGTCTTGGACAGATGAGCGTGTCGCCGAACAGCTTCATTTACGAGTTGATATAAGCTGCCCTGTTATGAATGATGTGTTTTCTTCAGCAATGAGATGAGAGAAAGATGCAACTTCAGCTGTGTTAGTCTAAGCCGTGTCAGCTCCGTGCCCAGCTTTATGGCTATGCTAGAGATTGCTAAGACAAATCGTGAGTATGCTTGGAGGAATATATTGGGGAAGCCGACGAAGCCATCGGAGGACTGACAAGAAGGTACGTCAGTTGATCGAGAGGTGCTGGTTGATGTTGAAGCGCCAAGGCGAATTGGGTTATATTCAATTCAAGTTCCCCATGATGTCTCACGCAAATGCTCCGAGTAAGCCCAATGATACACGATCGAGACGGCATATGGTTCTCAAACCTGTGAAATAGGGCATGACTACTTGGAAGCAGCACACTAGCTCTGGTGCAGGAACTGCAAGGCATCAGTACACCCGGATAATGCTGAGGTCATTGGAGACGGCGATGCGGGCGAGAGGCATGATTCATCTTCGAAGACAGCTTGCTGTATTGAGCTTCTTACCTGGCCTGAGCGACGCTGACGAGTGATCGAAGTAAGGCAAGGTGCAGTACCACCACCATCTTTGCGGTCGAGTGAACACAACTGCAGCAAGCAGCAGTGTTATAGACATGAGCTTCGCAAAGTATACGCCTCAGGCTCATGGCCTCGCTGTATCTGCATATAAGTCTAATTATCCCAGAGAGTCTCGTTTTCTTGAGCCAGGATCGCCGCTAATTTTGCCGCCGCCGAAAGATTCCAGAGTATCGATGATAGCAACAGAACCCCAGGTCAAGCTAAAATAAACCTTTGGTTCCCCAACCCCTTTGATCGTCAATACGTTATTGTCATCCGCTCATGTTGCCCGTTGTCTATTCCAAAGGTTTGCCTCCGAGCTGATATTCACATCGAGCCTACTAACCCCTGGTTCTGAAGATCGACATGTCTTTCATGTACTGACGCGTGATAACAACCAAGTAGGGAGACAAGATTGACATAGTCTCGCTAATTTGTTGAACTCAGAAATGAACATCATAAGTGTGTAATACACTTTTAAGCGTTAGGCGTTTTCAGATCATCGGAATGACGAGAAACCTTCGCATGTTCCGAACATGTACATAAGCAGGGAGCCGTAGACTATTTTTCTCTGCGATCATCTATCCGTCCCGATGTGTCCTGGAGGGATCTTCATGTCTGGCAGAGGTTGCATGCTCGTCGCCAGCTCATTGATGTTGACGCTTCGTCCGTGGATGTGGGTTATGCGATCTGGGAAATGAAGGGTTGTAGAAGGGAGAAAGAGGAGGTAAGTTAACCCTGGGGAGAGGCATTGAGACAATCTTGATGTTTGGTATGAGTTCCTTGATGACCCATCAGGTATTAGGTAAAACTTGAGGTGATGTCTATACTTTTGCAGAACGTAGTAGCGTCAGCGTGAAGCATCGGGCTTCATGCAAGCGTCAGTATTATGGTATCTGTTTGTTTGGGGACGTTAAACAGACGCAGATGATAGGACTATAAGGTCTTCTAGACAGAACCGGAAAATTGAACTCTTCACCGCGAATGGTCATTGCGATGTCTTTTGAAGAGAGTGTGACCAGCAGAAGCAATGCGATGGGGGATGGAATCTCTGGCATGGAGAACCCAATACATTACAGCATGTTTATGGATGCAAACATCCGAATACGTATGAAGAGGTGGTGGACGCCAGCGTGGATGCAAGATATCCCCTTGTCTGGACCCGGTTTCCAAGGGACGCGTATGAAAGACTTCAGGCCCCATACTCTGCTATGACAGGCTTTTAAAGTCATTGTACAGCGCTCTGGACGAGTCTTTTATCCGTGATGAGCAAAAGCCTATGAAGCCTACGTCATTTAAATACATGCACGTGTATACGATGTTCCAATGACAGGCATGGTCTAGCATACTTCCGGCAGGGTTTCCCGGAGGTAGCCGAGACTAAGAACATTGTCTTTCAGATAGTCTATTGTAGTACATATATACTATGAATTAAGATCACTTGGGCTACGAAGAGACAAGGGGAAATCATAGACTTCAGCCTACTCCAGCCAAGTATGAACACGCTGTGTCAGTGGCGCACTCGCATTGTTCTACGATTAGACTCGTGTTTTCGGCAGAAAGGGATCTGTAGAAGACGGTCGATTTGGCTCATATGATACACTTATGAATAATCCACAGAGCTTGGGGAACTATGAAGGATGGCGAGGTTGGTGGTGAGATGGTCACCGAGTATGCAAACGCAGACCGCTCGGGTTCTTGTCTTGTAAGCTTCAGTTTCTCTTTTACTACTTAATCAGAAGGATATCTTCAACAAATTCTTGGGAGCTGTACTCAGACCGGCCAAACGATTCAGTAACTAGTTTTTTGCTCTTACGTGGACGGTCTACACTTCTCACAGGGAAAGAGCCGACGTCTCGAGTAGCTCAGCTCGGAAATCAGATCATGAAAACAGCCACACGATATGGCTTTAGAGGCCTTTGTTTGTAAGATGGCGAGCCCACTGAAAAATCTGCAGAGCTACAGCAATGCTTGAACCTGATTCTATATATGTGGCTGATTTTGCTTCACACATTCACCTAGACAGACCAGGCAGCTGCTACCCGGTTGTTGGTCTCACCAAGTGCCACAGGCAGTCCGGAAGCCGTCACCAGCACCAGCTTTGACCAACCAACCAGAGCGAGCTGAACAACAAACGACCACGAATACTGGGACGAGAAGTTCCACCTAACGGCCTTTCTTCTCGTCTGCCCTTGCCTCCCTCGCTCTTTCTCAACCAGAGTCCTCTTTCTCCCCCATCAAATCCAAGTCTAGCTGATACCAACACCCTCTCCAGACCACACTCCTCGCCCTGCTTATCTGTCGAGTTCGTCCTCATAGGTCCTTTCACCATACGGCCGTTGCATGAAGATTCAACTAACAACCGGCGCAGGATCCTCCCATCATGCCTGAGCGCCCGAGCGAATTCCGCCAGCGCGGCGAGACCATCGACGACTGGCGGGACAGATTGCGACGTGTCGACCCTGATGCTGGCGATGATGTTGACGGCTTCTCCAAGCTGATGGCGGAGAGAGAGAGTCGGAAGAAGCTGCTGGCTTTCGCCGGCATTCGCATGAAACCCAGCAGCGACAGGACGCCATTCTGGCGCACTTTCAGGACTTCGTCAAAAAACTCGAGAGGCTTCCAGACGATGTCACTGATGGCCAGATTGAGGAGGCATGCTTCCCTCCTCCCAAGGCGGGCGACTCAGGTCGCTCCAAATGGAAACCCCCTCCGGCGCAACCTGAAGTTATTCATGGGATTCGTCGTGCGCTTTGGTGTGCCCCCCGGTTCCCACGACGCTGCTGTCTCTGACAGCTGCCTCGCCCAGTACCGCGATGTCCTCATGTTCTGGGTTTCGAGGAGCTACCGTCTGTTTTTTGAAACCGATATGACTAAGTAGTCGCAGTATCTCAGACATACCTGGGCTCTTGAGACAGAGAATCTTGAAGTGCTGGTGCCCTCCAGTATTTACCAAACCGTTGTCAAAAGGCCCAGGGGACCCATATCCCAAGGCGTCGAACCTGAATTATCAAGGCCACTGAAAGCATGCTCCTCTATCAGGTCTCACTGACTTGGTTCTTGGCTCCTACAGACTGCCACATTTAAACAGCTTTTCCTGTCGGGGCTTGCGTGTCTCGACGGAGCATAACACAACATTCATGCGTGAAGCAGATGCCGCTCCCCGGTGTCTAGCTTCAAAGAGAGGAACAAGTAGGGAAGGGTGACCAACCTTTCAAACTCAGTAGCCACTTCCCCAGTACCTCAAGTCACGTAAGATATCTAAGCAGGAAGCAAGACGATCTACGTCTTAGACACGTTGTCCCTCTTTTATATCAGTACGTCACACGCCTATCTAACATAGAAACTTTAGAGTTGTCTTCACATGCCGCTGTAGCTCTATTACCCCGCCAGTCTACACGAATACTATCAAAACTACACCCTAAAGCTCTGAAAAGCTCACAGGAACCCTCAAAAGCAATATCGGCCCCTAAAACAGAGCCAAATAGCAAAAGACTGGACGAACAGGGAATCGAACCCTGGACCACTCACATATTGGACGATAGAATCATCCGGTGCTAAGCGAGTATTATACCACTAAACCATTCGCCCACGATGATTTCGCCCGGACTTGAACCGGAGACCTTCAGTGTGTTAGACTGACGTGATAACCAACTACACCACGAAACCATTTGAATTGTTGAAAGGCGTAGCGAAATGTGCATATGTTTCGGTCGGCGACGAGGCCAGAAGTTGTCGTCGAGCGAGGATTGGGTGGTGGGCGCGACGTGGTGGGGTGCATTCCGGCGCGGTGGGTCGGCGAGATGAGAGACCAATCAATCTCGGGCTCACATCACGTTAAGAGAAGGTCGGTTGCGATTCAACTCTAAAACCAAGGTTGTGTCTCCCTCGGTTGCGCTGTGTCGGGCAGTGATGTTCTCTCGCTGCCTGTGGCCGTTATCTCGTCCGGTCATGCCAGTGTGGGGGCACTCGACGGTATCAAGCCGACGGTATCAAGCAGTCTCCCAAACGAATGGCAGGTTGACAGGGACGCGGACAAGGGTGAGACGGCTGGTCGTTGTCGGAGCCCACGGCATCTTGACCCGATGCTGTGATTGTGTCAGCCTCGTATTTACGCCGCCTTTGAGCTCACACGATGGCCGGGGCGGAGTCGAGTCCGGTATATGGCAGTCGATGTGCGGATGATCCCATCACCTGCCTGAAGATCTTGGCTCTATCCGCATTCAGCCAGCCATGGAGTTGAACATACCAAATGACCTGTGGATCTATAGTACGAGATCGGCACAGCCCCAGCCTTGAGCCGCATCCCGCTCGTGGACGTCCAGCTCGGTCGGGTACTCCTGGAACGGCGGTGGCAGCGGAGACACACTGGCTGGTCATTACGAAGCACGTGGCGTACGTGGTGGTACACGACAAGCGGCAGCCTGCCTCCCCGGAATGATTATCCAATAGTCAGGCAATGACAAGCGACTTGGAGGATGAGTCCGGAACCATGGTGATACGCAGAAACCCGTGCCTCATGGGAAAGCGTCTTTCAATCCAGTCCTGGATTGCAAGGCGCGGCGCGATGGGATCACTCAACGAGACCGCGCGGCCGACCCGGCAGTTTCTTGAGTGGCGGTAGCAGGCTCAATCGCTTTCGGGTATCAACTTGACCGCGCGCTTCGGGAACTCAGGTCCCTGATGATTCCGGGCGACTCGGGCCCGACCTTCGCGCGAAAGGAACATCGAGCTCAGACTTTGGAGTGCTCAATATAGCAGCACGGGCCAGTGCGTTCTCTCCAAGGCAGATCAGTTTGTTGGCCGTCCTCAAGTACGCAGGCAAGGCGAAGGCCTGTGATGCGTGCACAGAGCCTGGGGATAAGTCTGCACAATTTAGCGCAAGGTCGATATTGACCACTGGGGATTGCGAGATGAACTAGAGACTAGCTCGTGCGATTGCAGATCCTCCGCATAGAAGCACTGGGAAACCCATGGCAATGCGGCGCAGGCTACACCAGGTTTGGCTCAAAGGACAACGTCGACAGCATAAACACCGAAAGACTCGATATTGGGTGGCACTTGCGGCAATTGCGTTGGCAAAATTTGACCGCGGCAGAATGGTAGAACCGGAGTTTCGACCAAGGACGACAATGACAGCTGTCTGTAGAAGAATGGACGGTTGAAAATCGCATCGACAGATGTTTGCTACGATGAAGCAGAAGTCATCAATAGTCGAAATGAGGTGACCCGGATTTTGGGACCGAGTATTGGGGGCCGAGCATTTAGGGGATCGACGACGAATTGGCGCATTGACTTGGTCAGGGTGGTCAGAGGATTTAGACTTCCTGCCTGAAACTCTGTGGTGCTAATGGTTCAGTCCGTCTCATCTCCGCCACGTGGAAAAGTGAGACGGCGGAGAATTGGCCTGGGCGCCTGTCTCGCAGTAGACATCTCGGCTCTTTGGCGAGTATGGTGTCAGTTTCCACATGGCTGTTCGAGAATAAACGACATCAGCCATGTCGATGGAGATCATATCGAACGAACCAGGGGCGAACCGCTGTCGAAAATCTCTGCCGCTGCAACGACCGAGGCATCAGAGACGGACCAGGGCTCCAGGTGGAGGAACGTTGACAGGCCGTCGCTGGCACTTGAATGGGCCGGGGTCTAGACGCCGTTTGCCAAGTCTGCAACCCGGCAGACCGGTTCCTCGGTTCAAGCAGAAGTTGTTCCTTCGAGGGTAAAGCCAGCAGGCCGGACATGGAGAGCGGGTCAAGGAACAGCAATCTCAGAATCGAGATGTCTTGTTTGGTTGGCAACGGGGTCGATATGCGGGTGATGAGGAGTAAACGAAACCACCTCATCTCAGTAATCCAAAAGCATGGAGAACAATGTCATCCAGCAGCACAGACAGGAGCTCATACCGAGTTGGGGGCCAGAATCCGGCCTGGGTTCCTGGACAAGCCATGGACTTGCAACGTCATGGTGATGGTGATAGGAGGGTTGAAGTTAGGATCTTGCCCAGAAAGGACGCCCAGGCCGAGGAATGGAGTGTCGCAGGCGTCATGGCCTCGGTATCGGGCCGTAGTGATGTGACAGAAAGTTGAAGGGAGTGGACTTTGCGAGAAGCGAGAAGACTGCAGTCGCATCTGCGGCTAGCATTCTGGGGACCCCGGAATCCCACCAGTCGGTTCACAGGTGTAAGGCGCAAGGGAGCCTGTTGTTGAGATGTTGATATCAGGCTATTTGGGAAGGAGAGAAAATTTTCATGACGAGCGCGGGTTGGAGGCAGAAAATGACGAGTTGCGATTGGCGAATTAACGGCGAGTTCAAAGTCTTGGCTTGTTGGTTTGCTCTGGACTGGCCGATTGCTCACCGGGGATAAGGCGGGAGGCGGCTGACCCTCGTCTAGCCGGAAATTTGCGAGTCTTTGCAAGCTGCCTACTTGCTAGAGGTTGAAAGTGACAGGCGGACAGTGACGTACGTGTCTTAGTCTTCGGCTCCGAGTGTCCGCGACAAACTTGGTTCGGTTGCGGGTTATTCGTGGATATACGGGTATCCGCGGTGATGATTCTGACAATTGATTGAGTGTAGATGAAGGATTTGTGGTTGATAGGGGTGGACCTCTTGGCAAACCCCTCATAGAGCGCGTGCGTGTTCGGCAGTGTCCAAGGTGACTTTGGTCGATGAAGTGCATGGAAGCATGCCCCGGGCTGGCATGGACAGGCTGTGTTGGGATACGGTGGTGCATGTGGATCAGAGGCGAGAGAGCATCTCGCAGACTCGCAGGATGGAATAGCTGCAGCACCTTGGTCAGTCCCGTCTGCTGTCGGTGGCTTCCATCCTTACCTAGCTACCTCAGGTAAGGTAGATAGGTACCTCAAGGTTCAGAGCTCGGGGTAGAAAGGAGCGCGAGTTGTTGCATTGTCGGCTGCGAGGCGGTGGTGGAGGAGACGGAGACGGAGAAGGAGGAACAGGTAGCAAGGCCTTAGGTAAGGTACGAATGCATGGCCGATTCCCTGTGCATTGGCCCTGCATCTGCATTCAAGGTGCATTGGCTGGAGTGCGGCTGTGCATTTAGTCCCTGGGAAAGGGATGCAGGAAGCAGGAGAAAATGCGAGCTAAAATGTTTGGTAGACGCAGGATGGAAACTCTGATACGGAGATGCTGGAAGCTGCCGTCAGAGGGAGTCCGTCATGCTCTTGCCAGTGGTTGGACTACCCCGAGTGCGTAGGTGATGCGGGCAGCGGACAGGAAGAAGGTGGAGAGGAGTGTCGTGGAGTGGAGACTTTCACACCCTGCCATGTGCCGATAGCTAGGTACCTTGCCTTAGGTAAGATTCAAGGGCTAGTGGGAAAGAGCAGCCGGGATGCTGTGTCCTCGGCCGAGTGTCAAGTCAGAGACTGAAGAAGGAGCGAATGTGTCCATGGAAGGTGAAGGTATATGGATCCGTAATGTAATCAATCGCCTAGGTAGGGAAGGCACGATTTGACGGGAGGCGTTGATTGCAGGAAGGAGGGAGCTCCCCACTTGGTCAATGACGCAGGGCAGGCGCACTCTGCATCGACCTCGAGTATCTTCGCCGGGAAATAGCTTGCAACGGAATACACGGCTTTGGTCTCTACCTCTTACCTTACGGACGAAAGTGTAGCTTGGGTAGGCAGGTTGCACGAGAGGAAAATGGCCGATGGGACGGCATGGAAAAGAACTGGAAGACTGGGGGGCAGCGTGGCCTGCCGCGGCAAGGGCTTTCAATGGCTGGAAGCCATCGGGACGAACCACGAGGTGAGGCAGTCGTTGGGGTCCACTGTCCACTGCGTCCCATCGCCGCTCCTGCCCTGTCCTGTCTCTCCTGCCCTGTCCATTCTGCCCTGCACCTGCACTTGCACCTGCAGCTGCCAC